AAATATATATGAGTGCTTACTAGTTGCTTTATCGCAAACAAATTTTGATTTACGGTTCTTTCAATAAAGAAGACCAATGGTAAGTGTGTATTGATAAAGAAATAAACAGAATTAAAGACAAAAGACTTAAAATACAGTAGTAAAGAAAAAAGCAAAGGCGGAAGAAAGAATTCCTTCAAGAAAGGCAAAAAAAAATTAATACTAAGTGCCTCCTTTGCCTTCAGCTTTATGCTATATTGCTAATTGTTTATTAGTGTCTTTTACAAATGTCCTTTTTTTCCTTAAAAATTGTTTAAATAGATATTTTCTTTTAATTTCAGTTTAACCTTTTTAATACAAGCAAAATTTCTTGAATTGTTCAACAAAGGGTAAAAAATGGAATAAATATTAAAAAAACTTAACAGTAGGATGCAAGAAGAAAAGAACAAAAAGTGAGAAATGAAGATCACTAATATAGAACAGCAAACAAATAAAAGTTTTTACAAAAAAACGAGCTTTACAGTAGCCACGCCTTCGCTCTATAAAATAAGAATATGTTGATCCGCACGTATCTGTGGCGTGTGTTAGCCTTATATAAAACCTTAGGGTCTGATTACCTTCAATGTTTATTTTGTTGTGTTTATATTCCTAATTTTCAGTTAAAAGGGATAAAAAAAAAATCTAAAAATAACTTTTCTAATATTATTTATCGTTTTCGATCCTCGATAGAATTATTCCCAACAACGAACAATTCTTTTTTATCCCGTATTTTTTATGAGTATATATTAGTTGGTCTGAATTACTAAATTCGAAGAAAGATATAAAAAAAGCTCAGAAACTACGTTATAATACAAATATATAAGAATATATCTACCTATCCGCTGCGCTTTACGTTGCCTGGGTGTTGTTTTTGTTTGGCTTCTATGCAAAGAAGTAAATGGATAAACAGAAAAATATTCTGAGATTCGTTCCTAGGTGAAATGAATCAATGGACTTTAGTAATATTTGGATGTGTGTGTTTTGGTGTAATTTACATAATGGGAAATATAAAAAAAGAAACAGGGAAAGGTAAAGGGATATTTTTTTAAAAAAAATGTGAAACATGATTGCTCGTTTGGCACCATGCCAATATACATCGGTAAAAATTAATGTCTTTTTTGTTGTTCTAGGCAGTAGTGTTTTTTTCCCACCATGAAGCTTTTTTTAGTAACTTAACACGCATTGCATTGTCCTATATAAAAATAGCATGGGGTTGAAAATTATAATAAAAATAATAACGAAAAATTTCAAAATATCAAAAATCCAAGCATACAGCAAGGAAAAAAAAACAGGGCAAGAGGATCAGGTGAAGTGCTAAGCTTTATTTTTTTTTCCCCTATAGTTATATAGCCCCCTATTTATCGTTAATAGCCCATTTTTGTAGAGCACTTTAGTTTTCCACCTCATATTTGTATAATAACCCTATACTTGTAAAATAATATAGCTCAAAATATCGTCGGCTGTCCTTGGATTCCGTTTTTCTTAATTCGTCTTGGTTTCATCCGCAAAAACGTATGAGTGTATATGGATGCGCCTAAGGAACTTTTTCCATAGATTCGCGCGATACCACAGTTAGCTACACCAACCTATATGTGTATTCGCTTTGTGCGTTTTATGGCTATATCTCCTAAACGAATGTGTATACACGGTTCATCCTTATCACTAATCGCAGTACACAACACAATACCTATCAAATATATGCGTGTATATCCCAATCACAGTAAATACCACTGCTCAAACGTAGTCAATAATAAGTTCTGAATTCATAATAGCTTGTCTTTGATATAAATGAAATTCTTTGCTTTCTTTCTATACAGTTACTATTGTGGATCTGATTTGCTAACCACCAATCCCCTCTACATCATCTGCTCAGCAATCTTTCCTCTACCTCTACGTGGTTTCCGGTCCGCCCCCTTAAGGAACTAGACAAAAGAAGTGCTCCCAATGTCCCTGATTTATTAGGAATAAAAAGAAAAGTAACTCCAATTAATCCTCATTTCCTCAACTACAAAAGTATCTACAAAACAATAAAAAAATCATAACTAAAACCAGAAATAATATGGCTTTATAATACGACACAACACCGAAATGAGTAAAGCTAAAATATTACATTATTTTTAGAAAGAATCAGATTTCCACTTCCTTTCAATGCACAGCTTTTTGGCGAATAAGAAAAATCACTCACCTTTAGCAGTGCACTTGAAAAAAAAGAAGAAAAAATCTCGCCCACTATGCCCCTCTCCAGTGTCATAAACTTTACAATATCCTCGTCTAGGATTCCAACTTAGCAGCAACCCGAGGATTTATCCTCCGGAGTGGCTCGGCGCATGTCGGGGCGGTTCTGCTGTCTAGAATCCGCCCCAGACGCCCCACTCATCGCCAATCGGTTTTTGATATCAGTTGCCATCTTCTGAAAGGCCGCTTCGACGTTCATCGAATTCTTCGCGCTTGTCTCCAGAAACGGGATGCCGACATCCTTGGCGAACCCCTCCGCCATATCCGTATCCACCACACGCTTCGCCATTAAATCACATTTATTCCCTACAAGAAGTTTGTTTACGTTCTCGTTCGCGTACATGTTGATCTCATGCAGCCACGTCCGGACGTTGTTAAAACTCTCCATGTCGGTGGTGTCGTAGACGATAATAATGCCATGCGCTCCGCGATAATAGCTGCTAGTAATCGTCCGGAATCGCTCCTGGCCGGCGGTATCCCAAATCTGCAGCTTCACGACCTTCTCATCAAGCATCAACGTGCGGATCTTAAAATCCACGCCAATAGTGGAAATGTAGCTTTCGGTGTAGCTGTCATCGGCGAAACGGAACAGAAGGCAAGACTTCCCTACACCACTGTCTCCGATAAGCAATAGTTTGAAGAGATAATCGTATTCCGAGGACATGGTTAAGTTTAAAATATGATAACGGTATGTTATCTTCCTTCTCTTCGCGTATCCCTTTGATGAGTGATAATGATAATTGCTGTTGGTTTTACTGGGTTCTACAAAGAGCGAAAAACGAAAATTGTAATAATGGCAAAATAGTTATTTTGCTCAGCTATGATGCTATTATATCAATAGATATGTGCTAAAGTGCAAAAGCTATCGTACGCTCAAAGGAGTGTTTAATATTAAATTAAAACAGATGAAAAAGGTGTAGTAAAAATTAGAAGGATTAACATTCAAAAACATACATACAAAAAAT